CTCTAGACCTTTTAGAAAACATGGGGCTGTTCCTTTGGTCACATACATGGGAATTTACAAAAAAGTGATATTGTAGACAGCAAGGGAACTGGCACTATTTAAAAAAGAAATGTCTCACAAACGTTACAAAAACTGGGAGTCTACAATGTTACCCAGCATGCTGTTGGCATTGTTGAAAACAAACGAATTAAGGGCAAGATTCTTGCCAAGAGAATTAATGTACTTATTGAGGATATTAAGCACTCTAAGAACCAAGATAGCTCCCTGAAATGAGTGAAGGAAATATGATCAGAAAAAGAAGGAAGCCAAAGGGAAAGGAACGTGGGTTTGACTGAAGCACCAGCCTGATCCATCCAGAGAAGCACACTTTGTGAGAACCAGTGAGCTGGAACCCATTCCCTATGAAATCATGCCATAATAGATGTAAAAATAAATAAAAGACCTCCGGATTGTAATTTTAATTAATTAATTTAAAATGGGTAAAATATTTGAATACACACTTCTCCAAAGAAAATGTACATCTGACAAATAACCACATGAAACAACTGTCAGCATCATTAGTCATTAGAGAAATGCAAATTAAAACCATAATGAGATGCCACTGCACACTATCGGAATTGCTAAAATTAAAAAAATATATGACCATATAAGTGTTGGTGAGAATGTGGAGGAACTATAACTCTCATACTAGTGGTTGGAATATAAGACAGAAGAACTGCTTTGCAAAACAGTTTAGCTCTTTCTTTAGAAGTGAAAACATATACCTACCATATTACCCCGTCGTTCCAGTCCTGGGTATTAACTAAGAAAAAGAACGCATATGTTCACATAGAAATTTGTATGTAAATGTTCATAATGGCTTTATTTATAGCAGCCAAAAACTGGAATGCATCCAAATAACTATCAATAGATGGAATGGATGAACAAATTATGGTATAATCATACAAATGAATACTTATCAGCAATAAAAGGAAAAAAAAATGATCACACAAGAACACAAGTGATCACACAAGAACACAAATGATCACACAAGAACATTGCAAAATAATCATGGTGAGTGAAATAAATCAGACAAAAAGAAGAGTACATACTGTATGATTCCATTTATATAAAATTCTGGAAAATGCAAACTAAGAAAGCAGATCAGCAGCAGTATGGGGATAGAGCAGGTGGAAGAGGCAGGAGTGGGGCTTACAAAGGGGCACGAGGAAATTCGGGGGCATGACAGATATCTTCATAATCTTGATCATGGTGATGGTTTCATCAGTGTTACTTTTCAAATTATCAAAACATACAAAATTATACACTTAAAATATATGTAATTTACTGTGTGTCAATTATACCATGATAGAACTATACATTAGAAAAAGAACAAGCTATTGACATACATAACATCATGGATGAATGTCAAATGCATTATGCCAAAGGAAAGAAGACAGACTCAAAAGATTACGTACTACAGTATACGATTCCATTTATACCAAGTTCTGGAATTGGCAAAACTATAGGCAAAGAAGACATCTGTCAGTGCCGAGAGCTGAAGGTGGGGTGGGAGGGAATTCTGAGGTGATGAAATTGTTCTATGTTTTATTGAGGTTGTAGTAAGTGTATGTATTTGTTAAACTCATAGAATTACATAAACCAAAGAGATTAATTTTACTACATGTAAATTGTATCTCAACTTTTAAAAGCTTCATTCTTAGTGTCAAAAGAAAAGAAGCAAAAGGAGAAGTATAAAGATGAGGAAGAGAACAACCATTGCCACCTACCGTGGAGGCTAGAATGGAAGACCCTAAAATATAGGGATTTCAGAAAAAGAAAAGGGATAGAATGGGGAAGGGTCAATCATTAAAGAGATAATGACTGAGAATCTTCCAGAACTGAAGAAAGACATGATAATTGAAGATTATTGTGAATTCTGAGCTGGAAAAATAAAAACAAACTCATATCAGAACAAGTAATAATTCAGTAACATAATACCTTGGACAAAAGAAAACTTGAGAAGCTAACTTAGAAAAAAAGTGCAAGTATAAAGGTAAAAATGAATTAATTAATCTGACAGCAGACATCTCAACAACAGTAAATGCCAGAATTCAATGGCATCTTAAAAGGGCTGACAGAAATAACTGTCCACCTAAAATTCTATACCCATAGAGAATTTCAAGAGTGAAAGTGAAATAAAACCATTTCCAAGCATATAAGGCAAACAGATGATTACACATAGACCATCACTGTAATAACTACCAAAGCAGGTACTTCTCCAAGAAGATTGAACCTAGAATGAAAAAAGCAGGATTCCAAAAAGAATGGCGATAATTATGGCATTGGTACACAAACCATGTGACAAAATTTCATAATATATACACACACATACTCAAAAATGAGTGTATGTATGTAAACACTGGTGGATATGAATAAGGTCTATAGTTTAATTGATAATACTGTACCAATACCAATTCTCTGGCTGTGAAAATGTGCTATGTTAATGTAAGATGTTATTATTGAGAAAACCTAAGTGATGAGTACAATGGAATTCTGTGCTATTTTTGCAACTTTTTATATTTCTTAAATTATTTCAAAACTAAGTTTAAAAAAGGAATCATAGGGCTTCCCTGGTGGCACAGTGGTTGAGAGTCCGCCTGCCGATGCAGGGGACGCAGGTTCGTGCCCTGGTCCCAGAAGATCCCACGTGCCACGGAGCGGCTGGGCCCGTGAGCCATGGCCCCTGGGCCTGCACGTCTGGAGCCTGTGCTCCTCAACGGGAGAGGCCACAGAAGTAGGAGGCTCAGGTACCGCAAAAAAAAAAAAAAAAAAAAAAAAAAGGGAATCATAAAGAATCTGGGAAATATATCAGGAAATCCTAATAAGTATTAACTAAACATAATAATGATAAGAACACAATAACACAAAACTTATTTGGAGGGAACTGAAAAGCCAAATGACTAACAGATTGAAAAAGATAGGTTAGTGTTAAAGGGCTAAGATCCTTGTGTTATTCACAAGATTATATACAATGATTAAATTAAGACATTATACAACATCAGCTACAAATGCTAAAAGTTAACAAAAATCATTAAAACAATAAAAACAGAATATAAAAATGTACAAAATAGTAGAAGAGAAAAAGAAAAGAAGAAGAAAAAGCACAATCAAGAAAATGGATTTTGAGAAAAGGAAAAAATGCAAAAAAAAAAAAAGAGGATAGTAAGTAGGAAGAAAATAAGATGGTAAATTTCAATGTGAATATATGTCATCATATATTAAGCATATAAATGTAACAAACTCCACTACTGCATTTCATATAAAGGCTGTTTATAATATACCAATTAAAATCAAAGAAAGGTTGAAAATAAGGGATGAAAAATACGTAATAGGTAAGTCTAACTTTCAAAGAACAAGTTGATATATAGCAATATAAGAGTGAGAATAGAATTTAAGATACAATTATTAATGATAAAAAGAAAATACACCAAGAATATATAACTATGTTGAACTTTACGCATTTAGCCACTGCCTCAGGGTATATAAAGCAGAAGTCTCAACAATCAAAGAGAAAAAGCCATGACATATTGGAAAACCTTAGTTTGCCTCTCATAGAAAATGAATTATCAAGTAGAGAAAAAATTTAAAAACCCAGTAAGTATAAAGATGATTTGAAACAGCACAATTAAAAAGTCTGTTCTCAAAACAAAGAAAAAAACATACTGTATCACATTAATTGAAGCATGCATATCAAGCATACATTTTTACAAAAAAATGACTTCCTTTCTGGTTCCAACATTTAAGAGTCTAAATCAGAGACAAAGCTTTCCCAGTAAGGTAATAAAATTGGAAAATAACTTTTACAGCAACAAAAATAAATCATATAACTGAAAACTAAAGACCATGATTTGTTCATGATTTAAATAAGAAATCGTGCTGGAAGTTTCTAATTTTTTAAACTGAATATCAGCTGTGTCTTAAAAACTGGAGAATGTAGATGAAATGATATATAAGGGAGAAAGTTTTCACTTTAAAAGCATATTAGGAAAATAAGAAAAATTGAACATTAATAAACAAAGCATTAGACTCCACAAAGGTAGAATTAACAAACACATAGCAAAGGTGAAGAGAGTAGCAAAGAGGAACAGAGCATAAGTTAAGGATAATAAACACAAGGAAATATAGGGATCTCAACAGAATGACAAATTATATTTTTAAATTACTAATAAAATAGAAAAACCTCTGAGAAGGCTGCTTATAAAAAAGAAAAAGGAAAAACAAACTTAGAAGGGTAAACATATGTATAAAGTATAAATATTTAAAATTATATATAATTCTAGATATGGCACAGGGATGTAGCCACGTGTAGTAAAAATATGTGATACACACCAGCTTTCAGTGCAGAGGCTGTTCTCCGCAGAGAGGGAGATGGGGATTGCAGCTGTATATACAGCGGTTTATTTCATAAGAGAAACAAAATATTCATGTTTATTTCCAGTGGTGGGCAAATGGTTGTCACCTTGTTCTGTCTTTGCTTTTGAACTATATTTTTAAATAAAAATATTTTATATACTAAATTATAAATTTGCTTTCTGAAGACTTTTCCCAGAGAATATTTTTAAAATTATTTCTTACATGAGGCAGCAATGCAAATTGAAACATTTCATTTGTGATATGGCTCATAAATCTGCATTACAAATAAATACTTCTGGTACTTCTCCTGTAGGTGACACGGATCACTGGGCACTTGAAAGCAATAGATATGGATACATTTTAGTTCTTCCTCTCTCAATTACCAAGGCGATGACATTGGCAAGTCATTAATACCACATTCCAAAATTTTTGCATCTTTAAAATAAGGATATTCAAAACTATCTCAAATAATTAAATGAGATACTGATGTAGCATTCAAAATTCCTGTAAAATGTAAAGTATTATGGCTGCTCATAATATTTCCTTATATGTGACTAGATTTAAATGGTACTAAAGTTTAACTTCAGAACACAAATTCAATTTACTCGCTACTTTGGGGTTCCTCTTTCTTGCTGAACCACTTTTTCAAAGGCTTCCATGAAACAGCTACTATGGTTGCTACGATGAGAACAGGTAAAGCAATGTAGATACCCAAAAGCCACTGCTTCTTCCCAGCCTTCTCAAAACCTCTTTCCTTGATTAAACCTAAAAATAAAAATACATTAAAAAATCAGAGTAAAAAAATTAAGCTGCCTACTTTTACTTTCAAGTTACAGCAAACTAATTACAATGTTCTTAATTTTATTGTTATTCAAGGAACATGGAAAAATAATATTAGAATCATAATACTTGAGACTATCTCTATAAACTCTCATTCTAAAAGACTAGAAACTAAGTTCCAGAAAGTTCCAACGTATTCTACATTATACAGCAGCTACAGCAAAATCCCACTATAAGTGGGACCCCAAAACTTCTATGATATATAATCTGTTTGTAAGGTTATCCAACAGACTTGCATTGTTACAAGGTGCATTATCACAGAATTCCACTATATCTGTGCATATCCTGTTTTTCTTTATTAGACTGTTGGCTCTTTGACATTTAGGGATCTGTTTTTACATGCAGAGTCACTGCAGTGCTACTAAAACGTCACTGCCATAAAAAATAGGAGACTTGATTCCTAATCCTAATTCTGCAGCTAGTTAGCACTGGGTATTCTTTAAATTCCATGAGGAGTGGGACTTTGTTTTGCTTACTGTACATGCCTAGTGCCATATGATGAGCACCTGGTATATATTAGGAATTCAATAAATATTTGCTAAATCAATGAATGAATGACGAAAACTAAAGTCATGGTGAACAAACAGAATATTGTTTTAGCCCCTTCTGTCATCTCTTTAGCAGCAATTAATAGATTTTTATCATTTAAACTATAAACGCCAGACTAAAAACATATCTTCTATTTCCTTTATTTCTTCTATAACAGACACATATTAACAGTGCTGGACACAGGGTGTGTTGTTTGTATAGCGCTGAGACCACAGGATCAGGCATAAAAGGGGGAAAAGGTTGAAAGATAGTTTAAAGGAGAAAGTCAGACATAAGTAAGTAAAAATTTTAAAAGATACCCTCAACTTCAATCATATTCAAAATTAATATTAGGACAAAAAGCAAGATTAAGAAAGCATATTTGGCATCTATTTCTTGAGGCAGCCTATTTACCTTTTAATTACAAATACTGGTTTCTTTCAAAGTGTCAAAAATCGAACTTTGTCTTTGTGAAGGTAAGCAATTTGAGAATTTTATTAACTGGATACAAGAAGAGATAGATACTTGCCCTGTCCCCCAGGCAATCTGGAAGATATTCTGGAGCGCGCTCGGCAATCTGGAGGGCTGTAGCCACTAGAACAGTTGCACGTCATCTCAGAAGTGCACACCTAGAATCATTTTTTTAATTCAAATGATCATTTAAAAATATTCTCTCATAGAAAGTAAAATTATCAGATGGATCACCAAGCTTACTTTTGTATTTTCATCTAGTGTAATTTTATTTGATTTATTTAGAGAGAGAATTCTACAAATTGAATGCTTGGTTTTTTAGCCTAAAGTGCACACACGCGCACACACACACGCTAAAAAGCAGCTGTAAAGTGAGGCACACAATATTTGCACCTGGAAAATTTAACACCTTCAAATGTTCACCTGAAAATTTAGTGTGCAATTTCAGAAACACCTACATAAATTCTAATGAAAATGAGACCATTCCAGTGGTGTGTTAGAGCCAGCCAGTATCAGCTCCCAGGGCTGAGTGTGTAACATCTCTTCCCATCTCCAAGTTCAGTGACATCATGGGGTAGTTTGAAGTATCTGTACTTACAAATGAGGACTTTACCCTTCCTCACACCAGTTGGTAAACATGTACTAGCATAATACTGCCCTTGACCAGGATCAGGTTTGTTTAATTTGTTAGCTTTTGTTTGTTTGATTTTTAAGCAAAGGTTTTTCTGTATTCCAAGAGGGCATCAGATAATTAATTTCTGTAATTAATTAATTAATAATAGCAAACAACTTTATGGTGCTCACTATGTGTGAGTCTCTATTCTGAGCACTTTATATAGATTCACTCATCAAATCCTCACAATAGCCCTATAAGGTTGGGACTATTATTATTCCTACTTTACAGATGAATAAACTGAGGCATATTTAACTTGCCAAAGGTCACATGGCTAGTAAGTGATGGAGACAGGATTTAAACTGAAGCTATCTGGTTTCAGAGTCTCTGCCCTTGACCACTATGCTATGCTACTTCTCAAAATAATATAAAACATCTCTCAATTTCTAAGATCTCAATTTAAGAACATGAATCTAATTTTATGGCTTAAATGTACAGGAAAAAAGTATTCTGTTTGGGGTATCCATTGCCTTAGCTCTATCACATAACCTTCATGTTGTTGTGTGTGTATGTGTATGTCTACTGTGAAATACCTCACAGAAATATTTCGTCCTTCTCAGGAGACACCATGTTGTCACTTTGTCATAATATTGTGTTGTTACTTTTGGATCACTTGGTTAAGGTGCTGTCTTCCAAGTTTTTTCCACTGTAAGTTACCATGCCTCCATTTGTAATTAATAAGCAATTTGTGAGGAGATACTTGTGAGATTATGAAAGTATCTGGGTCCTCGTAAAACTTTCACCCACTAGTTTTAGCATCCATTGATAATTATTTAACTCCATTATTCCTTCTATATTGTTTATACTATAAAAAAGAGTTTTCCCATATCTCCATTTATCTATTCAGTTACTGTTATTGGTAAACATATTACTGATCTAGTCAAAGGAGCTTTGACAAGGGTGCAAGACCACTCAATGGGGAAAGGAGAATCACTTCAGCAAATGGTGCTCGGAAAACTAGATACCCAATGCAAAAGAATGAAGTTGGACCCTTATCTCACACCATATATGAAGATTAACTCAAAATGGATTAAATACCTAAATGTAAGACCTAAGACTATAAAACTCCAAGAAGAAAACATAGGGGGAAACCTTCATAACATTGGACTTCACAATGATATCTTGGATATGACACTAAAAGCACAAGCAACAAAAGTAAAAATAGACAAATGGCTATACAATGAACTTACAAATGTTTGTGCATCAAAGGAAACAATCAACAGAGTGAAAAGGCAACCTACAGAACAGAAAACTTGCAAACCATATATCTGATAAAGGGTTAATATCCAGAATATACAACGAACTCCTACAAGTCAACAAAAAAAATCAAATAACCTAACTTTAAAATGGGCAAAGGACTTGAGTAGATATTTCTCCAAAGATGGTATACAAATGGCCACCAAGAATATGAACAGATGCTCAACACCATTAATCATAAGAGAAATGCAAATGAAAATCACAGCAATAGAAAAAACAAACAACTTCGCCTAAATATGCTATAAATGCCAGAATACATTATTATTGTGTTTACTTTAAAAAGTCAATTGTCTTCTTAAAAGTTTAAATGAAATACACTATTTTATATTTATCCACATCTTTTTCATTTCCAGCACTCTTCATTGCTTTGTGTAGATCCACATTTCCATATGACATTATTTTCCTTCCATCTGAACATAGTTTAATATTTCCTTTAGTGCATATCTTCTAGCAACAAATTCTCTCAGATCTTTATATCTGAAAAAATTCTTTTATATCCTTAATTTTTAAAATATTTTCATTGGATATAGAACACTAAATGACAGGTTTTTTCTCACACTTAAATGACGTCATTTAATTTTTTTTGTCTTACATATTTTCTGATAAGAAGCCTGGAGTCATTCTTATCGTTGTTCCTCCAGATGCAATGTACCTTTCGCCTCCGAATACATTTAAAATATTCCCTTTATTAGGGAAAGCGAGTACAGCAAAATGTTAATCATGTTAAATCTAAGTGAAGGGTATGTGGATGTTCATTGTAATAGTCTTCAGTGTTTCTGTAGCTTTGAAATTGTTAAGGGAAAAAATGGGGACAAAAGAACATTTTGCTTTCATGTTTGTTTCGGAATGAATAGGATTGACTGAACACCAATAATTTATCTTTTTATAACTAAAGCAACCACCTCTTTTATTAATTGGAAGCTACCTGTTTCAATCAACCTTGGTTGAGTAGAAATCATAGTATAGATATGGATTTTAGGCCTCAAATCTCTGCTCTTGGTCCTTTGTATATTTTTTATTGCCATTTATTATTGTGACAAGCCAAAGTTGAGCATTTGTTCTTGTGTTCAATATTGTTTGTGGGCATTTGAGACTACCTTCATGAATACATTGGTGTAGACTTAATCACTCAATGTCCCTTTTCAATGTAATAGTTTAACCATCACACACATAGCTATTTCAGTAAACCTCTTTAACTGAGAAATATGGTTAAGTGGTTATGGTCTTAAGATAATAGTAATGAACACATCCGCTATTTTTTTCTTCCCAGAATCTACACTATTCAGCGGGCGACAGTATCTGAAATTTTCTTGGGGGAAATGAATCCTTTATAAATCGGCAGTGTGGTTACTGTGGGACGTGACCCTGCCCAGCTTCCATGCGTCACACTTTCCATGCCCAGAGGTTGGTGCATGAACCGGATCAGGCCAATTAGTCAATGTATTGGAACCCTTTAGAAAGAGAAGCTATTTGTCTCAGAGTTACTGCTGGTAGGATTTAAACTTAGAACTGCTGAATGCCACTTTTACTACCACATGTGTGGAGAGTCTGCATGAAAGTGAATCCTAGAGGGAAGGGAGCCAAATCGAGGGATGGAGGGAGGCAGAATCCTGACAGCATCATCTGAGTCTTGGAATCTAGCCATGCTTGGGCTTTTCAGTTATGCGTATCAGTCAGTAATAATCCTTCTTCTTGATACATTATTAGTTCTTGATTATTATTTTCATTATTATATATCATTATTCATTCTTAATAAATAAAAGTTGTTCTTCAGCCTAAAAAAAAAAAAAACTACTCCCTTTATTGTTGATTTCAGTAATTTGATTATAAGTTGTCTTGGTGTGTATCTGTGTTTTTCTGGCTTGAGATTTATTGAACTTCCTGGAACTTTGAGTTCATGCTTTATCAAATTTTGAAAATTCCTTAAAATTTTTTCTAGCCTCCCCTCTTTCTCTTCTTCTGCAACACTAATTACACATATGCTGAACCATTTGACAGCATCTAATGGGTCACTGATTCATTTTATTTTCAGTCTTTTTTACGTTTTTTGCTTCAGTTTGAATAGTTTCTATTGCCTTATCTTTAAGTTCACGGACATTTTCTTCTGCTTTGTCAGCTGTGCTGTTAATACCATCCAAAGAATTTTTCATTTCAGTTATGGTGTTTTCCTATTTCTATAAATTCCACATGCTTTTTTGTATCTCCCCGTTCTCTTCTTACCATGTTAATGTTTTATTTTAAATCCATGAGAATATTTGTAATAGCTTTTTAAAATCCCTGTCAACTAATTACATCATTTTTAACACTTCCGGGTCTACTTCTATTGACTAAATTTTTCTCCTGGTATGGGTCACATAATTCTCCTTCTTGGTATGTTTGTTACTTTCTAAAATGTTATGATGGATACTGTGAATATCATATTGTAGAATGTGTTGTTTTCCTTTAAAGATTGCCATATTGGTGCTGGCAGGCAGTTAAGTTACTTGCAGAACAGCTTGATCAAGGCTTGTTTTAAAACTTTGATAGGGCAGATTTAGAATATCCTTTTCTCTAAGGCTAGTTTAGTGCTACTAGTAAAGCATGACTCTTCTGGGATCTCTACTGAATGTCCCAGGTTTTCAAAAACACCTCTTTACTCTGACTGATTGTAACTCAAATTAACTCCCAGCCTTCTGTAAACATTGATAATTGTTCAGCTTAACAGTTCTGTCATTCTTTCCCTGGTCTTGTGTGCTTTGATCTTCATCAATAGACCCATAAGGACCTCTGTGCTAATTTCTGAACCTCTTCCTGCATATCAATGCTTCTTCCCTGGAATACTGCCTCACAGATTCCAACCACTTTAATCTCTCATAACGGCAATCTCCTTCTCCTCAAGCTACTGAGCCTGCACTCAGTCCAGATCCCACCCAAGGCGCTGCAGTCCAAACCCTGACAATAGGAGAGCCAGGGAATCACATCTCTTTTGTTTCCCTTCTCTCAGGGAATAAAGCCCTATGCTGCCTATTGTCTAGTATCTGAAAACTGTTGTTTCATACATTTCTTTCCAGTTTTCTACTTGTTTATGGCAAAGCTGTGATTAAATATCCATGTATTCTTCCATACTCCAAAAAATCCATGAACTTCTGAGAAAAGGGTAATTCTTTTAAAAACAGTGGATAGTAGCCTCACTGTTTCTCCACTGTGTCTCTCCCCATGTGAAAAAAAATACAGTGTGTACCCCTAGGG